GTTCTCTCCTGTACAGGTGTGATACCACACACGCTACACAAAAGCCTGGGAACATTACAATTGAGTAGAAATACATACATCACACTACAGAAGGCCACTATATTGAATACATGCCATATTGTTAGGAAATTCCTTAATACAGACACTGACACACACATTTAATTTTAGTTTTGTTTTGGTTGCTATGCCTTGACTCTGGTCCGGCATAGTACACAGCCACCGGTTTGTATTGAGTATAACCCGCTAAACCCAACACAATAATAATAATAATAATAATAATAATAATAATGGAGTTCTAATTTCTTTTGACCTTTCTAGTTTCATTGACAATATTTTGTTTAAGTTTGAAAACATAGAATACTTTAAGACATTTAACCATTGAATGACAAAATAATAATTAAATCCTTAAATTGTTTTCTGTTGTTCTATTTCCATTTACAGTTTATAAACAATTTATATATTTATTTATTTTTTAAATAGTTCTGAGTGGAATTATGAGTAATGAATCAATTCTTTTAGCATACCTGTCCACATTACAGTAGAACAAATCATGTAAAATTAAAATAAAGAGAACCTTTTTTGCAAATTACATTGTAACTGAATTAAAAAGAGCATAGTTTGCAAAATCCATTATAAAAAAAAAATGAATTCAAAACAGAGCCATAATTGTGTATAATCATTCAGTTTAAATTTAGTCACATCATTTTGATTATTAAAAATTTTGGACAAAACTATATATGTTAACTTTTATTATTAAGTGATGTTGGAATATACCCTACACCAGGGATGGCCAACACGTAGACCGCGGTCGACCGCAAAGGTTTTGAAAGTAGCCCGCGAAGCTAAAGTTGAACAATTTGCTTTCACTTAAATTAATGTTTAAAAATCTTAATTTGATAATTTATTCTTACAATAATAGACTGTCTGTGCAACATACCCATACTGTTTGTATTTATTCCGATGAACAATGCAAATGAATGTTAACGCATGCGCATATAAAAATCCTAAAATTGCCCATATTCATAGTCGCCCACAGACTATATTTTACCAAAAAAGTAGCCCCTAAGGGATAAAAGTTTGGCCACACCTGTCCTACACAGTGTATATTACCAGTGACTAATACCTGTGTACCCCACACACAATGATTTTGTGACATCACACAGAAAATTTGGGCAGGAAAGTAGAAAGTGACATTGAGAACAGATGGTAGGTTTTCATGTAATGCTACCCAGCATTTCCAGATTGGGGAATTTTTTATCAACTGACAGAAAATTTTGAACTTTTTGGGGTGGCATTTTTTTCTTCTTTGATCCATTTTCAGTAGAGGAAACAAAAATTTTGACATGACAGTACATGTGAAATACAGTTTAAATATTGAACAAATGTGTTTTCAGAATTATTCATTAAAAAATTAAAAAAAAAGAAAGATTCCTATTTCTAAGTGATAGCTTAACATGTTACTTTTGCTTTCCATTGTCTTAACTGAAAAGGCTATCTGTATCTGCATTATTATGTACTAGCAGATGAGTCAGGCATTACTTGAACAGAAACGATGGCAAAGATTAAGATCATTAGATTATAGCTGATCTTGCCCATTTTCACCGAGTGCAAGAATTAGGTCCCCCTCTTCCGAGACTAATTAGAAAATTTTTAGATATCTGCTTACCACACTAGGATAATAATAATTAAGATTCACAGCAACCACTAACCAGTGCATAGTACCACTAAGTGATAAATAACAAACATTTTTGTAACCCCTTCTTGGTTCTTCTTCTAGTTTACTAAATTACTAAATTTGAAAAATAAGTTGGATCTTCTGAATCATTCATAAATATAAATTTGAACATAAAATCAAACATTAAGACTAAGAGTTTGAATAAAACAAACTTATATGCATGCATTCCCTGTGTCAACTTTATATACTACAAGTTCAGACACAGGCACTGCGTATCTTGCCGACCACACAACTGCGCTACATGGTTATCTATCTCCTACATGTCTTGCTCTCGCCACCTGCTGACACAAAAATATAACACTTATCTAAATGATATCTTTTAATTTATATGAATGTTTAACAGAATAATGTACAGCCTATGTCCATCCTGAAGGTCCATTCTAAATATTGGTGAAAGAATTTTTGAAATCAGTTGAGTAGTTTTGGAGATTACCTCCTACATCCAAACTTACAAACTTTACCTCTTTATATTATTAGTATAGAAGTAAAACTAGTGGTGATAAATAATTTGAAGTGGTGAAAAAAATTCAAAATCACCAACTATTTTGCCAGTTTTTTAAACTGTTCAGAGAAATCCCTGCTAATGTATTGAGACTTTTATGTAAAGTATGTGGTACAATGTCTGTGCAAGAAAGGACAACTGACACAATACATATATCAACCATTCTTTACATATACTTTATTTGATATGAGCATTCTGAGTATTTACTAATTTTTTCAGTGTATATTACCAATACGTACTGGAAGTAGACTAAGTTGAAAAATAAACTACACCGATATAAATCCAGCAAAATTTAATAAAGTGGAGAGTCTCAGAGACATTTCTCTTACGGACAAGGAATGTATGACCGTTTTCGACTACAAATCCTTGTACCCTTCAATAAAATTACCTCCTTGCTTTTGTGCCGTAAGGGATTTTTTATTTGCCAATATAGATAATGCTCCATCTTATCATGATCATATCCTGGAATTAGCGCATTTAATTTGTTATACATCGTTTTTTGAGTTTGAAGGAAATGTCTTTTTGCAAGGAAGAGGCGTACCTATGGGTAGTCCTACATCTGCAATCCTTTGCAAATTGGTTTTACGTCAACTTGAAAATGCCATCCTACCCGAATTTCAACAACAGATCATTTTGTACGCTAGATACATTGACGACATTTTCATACTTTGGCACGAAGAACCTAACCTGCAATATTTTTTAAACAAACTCAACAATAACCCTTACGGTTTAACATTGCAGCTGGACCGAAGAGCAACTCCAGTGTTAACTTCCTGGACATTTCCATTACGTGCAAGCAGGGGGGAGATCTGGACCGATATTTACCATAAACCCTGCTTTCAACCCGTTATCATCCCACGCCAATCAATCGATCCCAAGCATATCAAATTGGCGGTTTTCAGATCATGGATTAAACATGCTTATACGCATTGCACAAGTTTCTGCGACACGATAAAGGAGCTAAGGTACATTCTTAAAATAGCCCAACTAAACAGATATCCAAAGGAAGAGATAGAGGATCTTATTTCATCCTTCCAATCCACTGCACGGCATTCTCCCAGGATTAACCCTAATAAACGAATAGTGCTTAATTACGTCCCATTTTTGAACAAGATACACAGATCTACTGCCAAGTCTAATAACTTACACATTGTATACAGGCGCAATCCCACTATTTTCAAACTATTGAGAAACGACAAAAAGAAAGAGGATCGGAATTCAACAACGGGTATATATTCAATGCCTTTACATGATCAACGGTTCGATTCCAGGCTAGTTTACGTGGGTGCGACGATGCGCGGTCTAAAGAAAATAGGAACATAAGTCAAGTTCAAGGAACATAAGTCTATCGATATTCTATCGATAAGAACCTTGATAACACTGTGTTAGCATCGTACGCAAAACAACAAGATATAAATGTGCTATGGGATCAGGCATCAATTATAAAAATGACAACTAATCGGCAAACGATCAAACATCTAGAGAAATTGGAAATCTATAAAGCGCGCATGAAAACCGGTTGTATAAACCATAGGGACGCCAACTCATGTGAAAAATTAATAATTGTAAAAGGATCTGTAGAGATCCTTTTACAATTATTAATTTTTCACTATTTATTTGTTAATTTTTCATTAGTTCGTCCACTAGGGCGTTTTCCATTAATTTTAATTTTTATTTTTGTATTTATTTCGAACGCATTTTATGTTCTATATTTAATGTTCTATTTTTGGTAACTGAAGATGATCATTGAAAAACGATTGAAAACGTTTTTATTTTATTAAATTTTGCTGGATTTATATCGGTGTAGTTTATTTTTCAACTTTTTCAATGTATGTTTTATATATTGTGATGTTTTGTACAGTTATGTTTATGACATATGTATTTTTTTTTTTTTTTGTTTTGTTTGTCAGTGAATGTGATAAATGTCTATTGTTATGGCTCAGTAATATGTATTTTGTGCATTGTTTTCTATCACCATCTGATGTGTATTTGTAGTATGGTTCCTCTGTTTATTATGGTTGTTTGTTTGCAAGCTTTTCACATATTATGTTTGTTATTTGGTTATGTCAATGTAAGTAGTTTGTTTGTATTAAAATCTTGCAACCTAATACATTTCCTACTGGTGTCATCTGTGAATGTCTTTTAAGATGTGCTTTCTGTAGTTTCTTATACAAGAATAGGTCATAAATACATAATTATTATTTTCTTAGATGTGTCATGTGATAATCTTTATTTCATTGTGCTTTGAAATTAATGCATTTTTATCATCATTCTTATAAATTTTCTGATTGAAAATTAAAGCTTTGATAAATAGTATTTGATTTTTTTATTAAGCATAAAAAATTGTGTAAATAAAAAGGTTTAAATGAAATTAAAATAAGACAAATGATAAGGTTTATAGATGCTATATTTTAATATAAGATTTAATTAAATTAAATTTTATAAAATATATCTATTTAACAAATTGTGTTCATACTATTACTTTAGGTTAAGAGTTGAATAATAATTAAATTTGTGAAAATTTTGCATTGTATAATTTATATAATTATGATTATAAATTTTTTGCAAATTCTAAAACATTTTGCATTTTATTTTAGGGATAAAGGATTAATCATACAAGGTATAGAAAAGGGTGGTCGAATTTATCATGATGGACGAATAAGCGTAGGAGATTGTATAATGGAAATAAATGGACATAGACTGTGTGAAGTCAGTTTTCAAACAGCTCAAGAAATTTTTAAGAAAGCACTAGATGCAAATGAGATAAAATTGTCATTGTTAAAGGGTTTATCTCACTTTCCTTCAAATGTTTCAAAAAAACTTCCTCCTCCTGTTTATCCTAAGCCAATACTGCAAACAACTAATAATAATTTGAAAGAGCAGAAAGGTAGGCTGATTTTTTTTCCTTAATATTAAAAAAAATTGAAAATATTGATTTAAATTATAAGTAAAGTTATTAAATTAGTCCTAAATACAATAAAAGACAATTATTATTTAAAAAATATCAAATATGATCAAAATTTATCTATAATGTATTGAAAAATGTTTCTAAGATTTTTATTTTATTTACTTTAGATTAAGATTTAAGGTAGTATTAAGGCATTTTATACTAATTTAATTGTGATTTGATGTGACAAGCCTAAAACCTGCAGTTCACAAACTTGTATCTTAAGAAATTGCATCAGATAATAACTATAATAAAAATGACTTTGAACTCCATGAAAGCAGAAGTCAATGACTCTTCAGCAGTTAAATTGGAGTTGTTTCATTTAGTGTTAAATGCTATATTTTTTTCTAATTTTTTTTCTAATTTGGATATTCCTAAATTTGATTATAATGAAAGAATAAATACAAAATTCAAATATATAATAAAATAACAACAAAATAAAGTAAAAAAAAAAATATTATTTAATTCAAATTACAAAGTAAATATAAACAAAAATCTTTAAAGAAAGGAATAATTTATGATGAAATTGCCATTTGGATCTAGTTTCTAGTAAAGATTATAAATTGGTTTTGAATATGTCAATAAAACTACTATAATTTATTGTATATATTGTTTTAAAGTTTGTCATAATGCTATAAAATATGAATATCTAATTATATTTGTATATTACCTAAATAAATTTTTCATGTGATAAACCAAATCCTTTGTGTTTTCTTTCAGATGAAAATTTACCATCATCCACTAAGTCACATATTCATTCTGTCAATACATTGACTTCTAATACTAGAAAAATAGGGAAAAAGATTCATATACAATTGAAGAAAGGTAAATATTGATGATTATTCTCTTTTTACATGCGTTCTCTTATTTGGATATTGGTAATTAAGTCTAACATTCCTTTTCTGTTTTTCTCATGAGATAAATACAGGGTTCCTACGCACCTGGAAAGTCAGGAAATTTGTCAAAAATTGTCAAAAAGTCAGGGAATTTGTCAAAAATTGTCAAAAAGTCAGGGAATTTGTCTCCTTAACTGCGTTGTTGATTTGGTTTGCTGAATATAGATGACCAATCATAGCCATACGCAGGCGGCAAGAAGTAATGCTGCAATCTTTAAAACCCGAGATAACTCGGGAAAGTTCCATAGCGTTATATAAAACTCGGGCATTTGGGCCCTCCGAAAAAATTTTTGTTTTTTTTGGATGTTTTTTAAGTCTCCAAATTTTTTCAAAAATTTTTTCCCGCGCGAAAATATTTTATCGCGATTTTAATATACCTTTAATGACGCACGATTAACTCTTAATTGTTTTTTAATGGGAGTTTTTTTTATCAAATTTCATTCATCGTTCTAAAGTAGTAGTGCACGGATTTTACTTCGATAAAGTTATTTAAAGCTAGTTTCTGATGTCAAAAACGACCTCCAATAGTTTTTTAATTTTTTTAAATTAATATATTTTATTATATATACGTTTAATTAAGTCGGGGGGTCGGAAATCGCAATAAAAAAACGTAATTTTTGAAAAATATTTAAAAATATACGGCCAGCTAGTATTCACTCTACTTTAAACCCTTCTCCTCCCGAGACTTCTATGAGAATGTCCCGGGAAATCCCAACACCAGCTGTTCTCCAGGTCATCCAGCTGTAAACACAATGACTCATCGGTGTCAGATTTCACAGAAAGGCGAGACAATGGAAAATAAAGTTTGAAGCTTTTTCTTCAAAATTAACGCATTTCTTTCGTTTTTTTCCCAGTTTTAAATATTTTTTATGTTTAATTACATTAATATTAAAAATTAGTGGGTAGCAAGGGAGTTAATTAATAACAGGATAAACTACTTTTATGTAATAGTGTTTAATTTTTAATTTTAGTAATTCAGCGATTATAAAAAAATGAAATTGTTTATTAGAATAAAAAATAACTAATTAAAAATTTGTTTGCAAACTTTTAAAAGTTGAAATCGTAATTTATTAGAATGTTCACTTCAAAATAGCTAAACAGATCAGTAAAAATCTGTAATTTAATCGTTTTTCAGTTTAAAACATAAAAAATTATAAATAGTTACCCGACGTTTACAGTAAAATACTGGCGCTGACTTGTTGTTGGCACAAGCTTTTTATATTTGTTGTTACGATTTTCCTTGAATGTACTGTACTGCAAGCATATTTTCCCTCTCTCTTCCGTTTTTTTCCGCAACTTCGATACATAGTTTAATAATTAGTTAACTGAAATGACATTGGGTAACAAATATCACTGATTTTGGCAAATTTAGGGCTTAAAAACTGGCAAGATTGATCATGCTTGTAATAAATATTCTGTAGTTATATTTTCGAAAATCAACAGGTAATCCGATAGTTTAACCAATGTTAACTTGCTTATAATTAAAATTTAAAAATTAAAAAGCTGTAAATTTAAAAAAAAATAATTACATTACTAAAAAATTAAAATAAATTTGATTATTTTTTGTGCGAAACAACACCAAAACAATTTTTATAGTTATGTTGCAAAAGAAAGAGATTTGTAGTTACGATTCTCTGCGCTGAACTTCTATATTTTAATAACGTATAATTGTAATTTCGTTTGTTGTTTATTTCTGTATTTATTTTATTTTATAAGTTTTAAGAATCCCAATTTTCGTAATACTATGACTTCATAGGAATACAAGTGTGAGGTTCCGGAATTGTCCGGAACTAAAATAGAAAAACGTAAAATAATTTAATTATTAGAGAAAAAAAGGAATGAACAGAAATTTTTTATAGAAACTTGAGAAATAGTCTAGACCCGTGTTTCTCAACCGCCGGTCCGCAACTCTAATCTGACCAGTCCGCGAAAACTTTAAAAATATATACTTAACCTTCCATGCGTTGTTCTCAAATAGGAAATATGTGGATTATTAATCCGTTTATTGATAGCAAACTAATAGATTGAACGACTTTGAATACGAAAAACTAATCAAATTAAGTTCAGACTTGGGATTTAAAACATTGTTTGAATCAATGCCCATAACACAGTTTTGGATTAAAGTTAAATCTGAATATCCAGTTTTACATAAAAAGGCAGTTAGGATGTTACTACCTTTTTCAACAACGTACTTATGTGAATCAATGTTTTCAGCAATGGTAATGATAAAATTGAAACAACAAAATCATTATAGTATTAGTTCTGCCTCACGCCTTGCAGTTACCGCCTTAACTCCAAGAATTGATGATCTTACTAGCAAAAAAGAAAAGCAGCGATCACATTGATTTGTATACTAATGTACTGGTAAATAAAATAACAAATATTTATTGCTCAATGTAGTTTGCAGTTCTTTTTACAACAGAGAATTTTTTTCAATTAAAAATAATATTGTCACTGGTCCACTTAAAAAAAGCAGATATTTTCCGGTCTGCGATGAGTTTTGGGTTGAGAAACACTGGTCTAGATCATCCTTTCTCAAAGTGGGTGATAACGCCCCTTTGCGGGCACTGGAGGCTTTCATGGGGGCAGTAGAAGGCTCAGTGATTAAATATGAGTTTTATTTCTTCTCATCAAAACATTCTTTGATCTCAGAAATAGGATATGGGTCACACCCTATCTATCCTATCCATATAATAATGCATGTTTAAACATTATATTTGCAATAACTGTTTTTAAGATATGCAACAGATGGTAATGTAAAAAGGTTAAAAAAAAGTTACTCTTTTTGTTGAAAGATTGATTTTAAAATTATGTGTTTCTAAATCAAGAGTTCATTTTAAGCACAGTACAGTACTATTTGTTTATCAAAGAATAATTTTTGTTGATTTTATGTTACCTTGTATTTACTAGATTTACATACAAATAATAATGATAAATGATGATAAAATAAAAAGCTTGTGTTTTGTTTGTAAATTGCTTATTTTTTCATTACATTGAAGTTGTGGATTCTATCAAACATTTTTCTACAGGATGTATGTACTGTATTTTTTTAATGTGGCAGTCTTTGAAGCATATCAACTGTGCAAAAAGAGGGCTAAATGTACTCAATGTTAACAGTAAATGCTGTTTTATTATGTTGATATTCCACACTAAAAAATGTGAGGGTCAGGGAATTTGGACAAAGTTGGTCAGGGAAAGTCAGGGAATTCAAAACAAAAATTTGAGTAGGAACCCTGTAAATATTTTGTTTATTTGCAGTGGTGTGCTGTCATTTGAAGCGGTGGATGCGCCGCTTCCCTTGTATTTTATAAAAAATAAATACATATTAATTTTATTTATATGAAAATAATCGCACAATATTTTATTATAACCACATTATGTATCTTATTACAAATTTCTATACTACACATGAAAAAAAAAAAAATTGCTATTGTATATTCGAATATTAGTGGCGGAGTGGAAGCGCTGTATTGTCAGCATCCAAAAAGCCAGATTTGCACATGCGCTTTACAGAGCACCAACCTCACCTGGTTTAGCTGGTGGAAGCCTAAGATCTTGGATGGATGCTACACGTATACCGCATCCAATTCTATCCAGGACTGGTTCTGGGCTGTTGGCTGCCCTCGCCCAATTACGTGAATCATGAGTAGATTTATAACTTAACCCAACCAATAAGAATTTACTGGTATGTTTTTATGATAGTTCTGTATAGTTGACAGGAGTTAAAAAAATCCATTAAAATATTTGATATTTTTATTCCGCTCTCCGATTTTNTTGGCTGCCCTCGCCCAATTACGTGAATCATGAGTAGATTTATAACTTAACCCAACCAATAAGAATTTACTGGTATGTTTTTATGATAGTTCTGTATAGTTGACAGGAGTTAAAAAAATCCATTAAAATATTTGATATTTTTATTCCGCTCTCCAATTTTATATTACTCATGGATTTCAATGTTAAACCAGTGATATTACGGTTTCATATATCCCATCTTTAAGGGGATGTAGAAAAAACGTGTACAATTCTTGTATAATGTTAAAAAATTAACTGTTACTTTGGCAGCATCATTTACAACTAAATTTAATGAATGAGAGAGATGCCCAAGGTATAGAAAAAGCTCTATAATTTATTTTCCTTAAATTTACAATTCATGTATCCGTTTGTCATAAAAATTTGTCTTTCCTCTTTTTTCCTAAGACTACAAATATTCGAGTACAAAGTAACTGCTTTTGACTTATTTCTACTTAAGAAGTAGTTAAATAATTAAGCGATTAGGGAATTGGGGACATAAACAAAACCCTGATGGAAGAGCCAAAATTTTACTTAAACAAAAGCTTAAGTTTAAACATTTAAAATTTACAACTGAAGAAATGTTTAAAATTTACAACCAAACCAATCTATAGCCGAGTATAGTGGGGACTGATTTCTTCAAAATATTAGATGTAATAAAGACAGAAAATTTTCCAGTTCAATGAGAGTGACCGAAAAGTTGTAAATTTTGGAAATTTCTGTGGACAACATCTGGTCCTAAAACAAATTAGTTAGAAAACAAATGACGGACAATCTATTAAGTTTAACATATTTAGATTTTTACAGCTGTGGCGAGAAATGTTTAAAATTTACAACAACTCTGTTGCGTCCTTTGATGTATACTAGTGATGTGACAAAAGAGACATTTGATATTAACTTGTATCAGCACCCTTGGGATTTGGCATGCATGCACGCACTGCACACCTACCAAGATTGGCTCTGCTTCCATCCATGAGCTACTGGTAGGGAGCAATTTTAACTGAGTGGATTGTTTTAATATTTAAAAAGTAAAGAACATTTTATGTTATTTTTATGTACGTTTTTTCACAAAACTATATTCATACAATTGAATATTTTGTACCAGGTATGTATAATTGTATATCCATCACACATTTTATT